TGAGGAACGCACCTAGTCCGGAGTCCATTGTATGCATCATTATTTCCAGAGTAGGACCGTGGACGTGGTACTTTCCTAGACGTTTATATTATTATATATATAATTATTATATTATATATATATATTATAAATATATAATATAATATTATTTATAATCTTAATTCGTTTTAACTAAATAAACAGAAAATATACGAAGACTTACAACTAAACCAACAGGTCCATCCCTTCCTGGTTGTCCTTGGGATCCGATCTCTCCTTGTGGCCCAGGATCTCCCTGGGCTCCTTGAGGACCTACATCTCCATCACGACCAGATCTTCCCGTTTTTCCTGGAAACCCTATTCGGCCAAGTTTTCCCATTTGTCCTTGGGGCCCAATTTCTCCAGAATAGCCGGGACTTCCAGGTGCACCATCCTCACCAGGTAATCCTTGAACTCCGGGCTCTCCAGCTGCGCCTTTAGCACCATCATCTCCACTTGCGCCTGCCAATCCGATAGGTCCTATTACACCTCCATCTCCTCTATCCCCATGTCTTCCAGCACGGCCCTTTGCACCCTTGGTACCTGGCTTTCCAAGGTCTCCAGCTACACCCTTGATGCCGTTTGTACCTGTCATTCCTAAAGAGCCCGGTCGACCAGGAGGCCCAGGAAGACCATCAAGACCAGCAGGTCCTATAGGACCCTTAGATCCAGGCGGTCCTGGGGGTCCGGGAACGCCAACACGAGCCATCGAGCGGGACATCACCAAAATTCGACCTGGGGATCCACGAATACCAACAGGTCCTGGTATTCCGGGTAAGCCATCCTCACCAGGTATGCCGTTGTCACCAGCAGGGCCTCGAAGACCTCGGAAACCACGGGGACCTTTTGAACCAGGAAGACCAGGAGCACCGGGAAGACCCTGCAAGTGTCGCAATGAAGAGAGAAACTCTAAACATAATTAATTGTCTACAATTTTAATTTTGACAAATTTAAATTGTATTATTTTATCATATGAATTAATTATTATTAATTAGTATTATAAACCTCATTTTAAACTTATTTTTAGGCTATTGGTGGCACGGTAAACTTACACTTGGTCCCATTCTCCCAGGAATGCCAATCTGGCCAACTGCTCCCATAGCGCCAGTAGATCCTCGTCCGCCATTTACGCCCTGTTCTCCTGGCTCTCCAGTTCGGCCCTGCTGTCCCTGCATACCTTTGCTCCCCCTCTCGCCCTCTTTACCTTGATCACCTGGTTTTCCGTCTTTACCTGACTGACCCTTAGGCCCAGTTAGGCCTCGTAAACCCATAGGTCCCATAGGTCCCCTAGCGCCGTCCTGACCAGGATTCCCAGGAGTACCGGGACTGCCTTGCTTTCCCCGTTCCCCCTGGCTGCCTTGGTCACCATCAGGTCCGGCGTGTCCAATTAAGCCTACTGGACCCTTGTCGCCTTTGGAGCCAGCTGGACCTATTTCCCCTTGAAGGCCACGTTCTCCCGGAGGGCCCTAAATCGAAGTGCAAGTGTTACATAAAATAGGATGATTGATGGTAAAGAGAAAAGTAATAAGCTGTTTAGTATTACTTAGAAGTTCTGTAACTGTTAGAATCACATTTATATGTAGGAAGTGATAAATAAGATTAACGCTCTAATTTAAAAGCAAACCCATTAGACTACGTAAAATTAGCTTGTATTTAATGTAGCCTACCTCATGACTGATCCATTACAATTATTTATATACTATACTAATAATAAAAAAGGCTTACATTTTTTGATAGTTTTTTCGATTATTTGCATTATAAATACTAATGAGATGGATTAACTAAATATCAACTAGACTATAAAAAGTAGAGTGATGCAATTAATTGGTGGGAATAGTACTTCATTGTTACTAGCGTCGCTCTAATATTTCAATAAGTGCTCAAAAATGTTGAAACCCTTGTTTAATTTTGAATCGGGTCTAAGATTATTTGAGAAATTATTTTGAGGAAAAATCTAAATCAAATGCAAAATTTGATAATTTATGAAAACACAAAGACAAGCTGTGGACAGAATAAAATCATTACTAACATTTGAAAGCACAGCTTGACCAATTCACAAGAGAATGTTGCATTTATATTAATAGTGCAAATATAAGTAACTAATTTCTTAAATACTTTCGTACTGGTTATTATAATGGTATATTTGTTTTCCAGTTTCAGATATTGGTGTACAATTAACAATGAAAAGTTTGAAGTAAACTATAGAAGCCCATAATCACAAGACTCAGATACATTCAGATTTTTTCGTGTATTATGATTAATCTAAGTCAGACCATTGCACGCATAATTCTGTATCTAGTGTATGGGATAACATAGTTTTCCCGCGAGCTTACGGTCCCTGCACCTGACTCAAATTTCTAAAAGAAAAACTTGCAGGCAATGATATCTCCTATTTCTTTCCATGTCCCATTTGCATGAATTTAGTGCATTCAATGTCACAGCTCAACCCAATTTAAATAAACATCTTAAAGACTAATTTCCCCGTTCCGCTGCCAGTGATAATATAATTGGTATACACTTTACCGT